CAGAGTACCCTGAGAGAACCCACACATGCTCAGGGAGAACATGCAAACTCCATGCAAAGGGTTTCCACGGGTCATTAAAAATCATTAAAGTCATTCAATTATTATTTTTTAAATTAAGGCCTTAATTGGCATTAAAATTCATTAAATGTGATTATCATGGCATTTAAAATGCTTTATAAAAAATAAAAAAAATGGTCAAATATATCAGATTTAACTGCTCCTTGTTGATCCTAAAGCCATATGTTCAGAACAGAAGCTCGAGGCACAGAAAAAGCTAAGGAATGGGGAAAATGCTAATTTTAACGGCTGGAAAACGAGAAACGTGACTGGATGGTAAAGATTGCGATGGATTTGGCCGTGTTTATATATATATATATATATATATATATATGAGAGTAATGGGTTCTTATTGATGGCATTAAAATTTTTTTCTAAGAGCATTAAATTAGAGCTCCTCCTTCCTGTGTAAACCCTGCATGCAGAAAGACCCCGGGCCGGAAATGGAACCCAGAACCTTCTTGCTGCAAGGCAGCAGTCCTGCTGCGCCACTTTGCAGCCTACTACATACTTAAACCTGACAATTAATTTTAATAATCTAACTTTTATTGGTCTCACATTGGAGAAATGTACCTCTGCATTTAACCCATCCCCTTGGGGAGCAGCGGGCTGCCGTCGTGTGGCTCCCGGTGAGCAATGTGGGGTTAAAGGTCTCAGGGACCCAGGGTGGCAGTCTGTGGGAGTGGGGCTCAAACTCAGAACCTCAGGATTCTAAGTTCTATGCCCTAAACATTAGCCCGCCACTCCCTGTTATGTATTTTAAATAAATAAGCTATATTAAACTAATGAATATGCATTAAGATTTATTTAATTGATTTGTGTTACAATTATTTAAAAAAAATTACATTAGAATGACAAAAATATTTAAATTTGGGTAAAATAAATTTCTTTTTCTCTTTTCTTGGCTTCTTAAATGTTTCAGATCCTCAAAAAAATGCTCACATCAGATATTGATTACCAAAGAACTGCAAAAAGTACTTTTCAGGTTATTATTTCATAAACTGAAGGGAAAAAAGTTTTCCACACTATCAGTCTATGGTTGAAAGTAATCACCCCTCATATTAAAACTCAAATTAAATGATAATTTAGGGCTAGATCAACAGGAACACTAACTATATTTGCCCACCTTTCTCTGAATGTTGCATCCAAAGCGAAAACGCATTAGCATCAGGTTGAAATGCTAAGTCTCTGGTAAAGATTACTTCTACTCCATTTCACTCAGATGTGTATTGTTTTTTTTCTGTTTTGTGAAGAATAAAATTAATAATTTTAGAATAATACAATGCTCAATTTGTTTTTTTACACCTCTAAGAAACTCATTAAAATCATTAAAGCTAGAATAATAGTTCAAATACTTCATTAAGTGAGAGCTGAATTTGAAAAGGAGGCACTAAGAATGCAGAATAGGAGCAAGGAGGAGAGAGAGAGGAGGAAATTCAAGCCGCCTCTTCCTTTAATCACTATAGGAAACGCTTTCTGACCATATTTGCAGACTATTCCTCACTTCAGAGGAAAGAATTTATGAGAGTGTGATCTGGAAAAAGCAGTTTGAAAAGAATACAATTCATAAAACTCAATCTAAAAAAAGAGAAATAGAAAAATATCTGAAAATATAAAACTTTTTAAACAAGTTTTAAATAAAAATTTTTTTTAAATGAACAATGAAATCTAAATTCTGAGGAAAAGAAGTTTCAGTGATTGAATATTTTTCTTTTAAATATCATTTCTGAATTAATTTAATGAATTTCAAATGACCAAATCTGTTCATTGGAACAACAATAACGCAAAATGCACACCTTAATCTACCTAATAAGAAGGTGAAAATATGCATCCTTGCATAGTTCAGGTAGGAGGAGATTTAAATTGGAACAAAGGAATATTCAACTAGTGTTATTGAGCATAAATTAACATAGCAGAACATAAAATCTTAGTTGGAACTGCAGCAGATCTTCTAATAGAGACGTTTTCTGTTGAATGACTGAGTTTCACTATTTTGTATTTAAAAAGATGTGAATGTTCCCGCTGTGTGTCTCCTCAGATGCCCATCAAATGGATGGCTCTGGAGTGCATCCATTACCGGAAATTCACCCATCAGAGCGACGTGTGGAGCTACGGTGCGTCCTAAATGCATTTTTTTTCCTTTTCAAAGAGACGTCAATGACCTTAAATCCTGTTTTCTTAAACCTAATTTTCACTCGATTGCTCTCCTGCTTCTCTCCTCTTTCCCTTCTTGTTCCGTCCTAAAAAGGAGTGACCATCTGGGAGCTGATGACATTCGGTGGCAAACCGTACGACGGCATCCCAACGCGAGAAATCCCAGACATCCTGGAGAAGGGGGAGCGCCTGCCCCAGCCTCCCATATGCACCATCGACGTCTACATGGTCATGGTGAAATGTGAGCAAACGTGAATACTTTAGTAAACAGGGATGATGAAATACAAGGTTTAAGTGAAGCAAGACAGTTATTTTTGTTGCCTTTCCATCTGTGAGGTTTGCCCATTTTGGGCCTGGCAGTAGATAAAAATAGTATTAAATCAGCTGCTGGTTAATATGCGGCTGGTGTCAGCAGTGGGGCAGCTAAGCAGAGGGTAAAGCCCTTCTCCGTTGTCAGCACCTCTAAAGATCACTAATTAAAACATTACATTTGGAGTAATGCGCGCCAAAGTGCGGGAGTGGCTAGGACTACACATGCTGGATTTGTGGCTGGGAGTAGGAACTGCTTTGATGATGTTGCCAGGCAACTACTTAGTCCAAAAGTCGAGGAAGATGCTGCATTCTATCAGCAAAATAGAGTATGAACTAAGGGAAAGTTTGTTTATTTAGCTCCTACTCCCAGCTAAGGGCATTTCAAGGCAAAGATTAACCACAAGTTCAGGATTTAGCGCTTTGTCCAATTTATTTGTATTTCCTCTGATTTACTGTTTAAATTTCTATATGTTAAAGATGTTAAGGGATTAAAATGCTGTTAAAATTCATGCAGCTATGCAGAGCATGTTTTATCTATGGAGCTAAAATAATAATTTAAGGGATGCATCACTTTGTTTGTTTGTTTGTTTGTTTGTATGTGTGCTGTTTACAGGGGTATTTAAACTAGTCATATAAAAAGATATGGTAATTTTTTTTATTGCTTTCCTGCTTTAAAGAAATATAGGGTA